TATATATATGTATCTACATATATACTTTCTAAAGTTATACAGTCACGTTGTATCAGCCAGTCATACGATTTATTGATCTATATTTTAATCGGATTATCACATGTTCTTCGTTTTAATTAGTGATATGTGGGGAGGTAAATAGATATCTCCAATGGATAATAATAAAGTCGAAGGCACAGCAGTCGTACCGGCTATCGTGCTATACTTCGAGTGGCTTCATGTAGAGCACCGGCGTTCAAATATCATTACGATTTGCAGATCGACGATGGAATAATAAAATCGTGCGAAGGTCAATATAGACGTGTAGAGAAAACCTATCTTTTTGAGATAAGATCTACAATGTGCGAGCACTCGTTTGGATGCGAAGAATCAAAGATGGATTCGGAGCGTTTCAATGCGGAAGTATGTGGAGAGGGTGCTCATCATTTAATGTGGAAGGTGGAGAAGAAACTTGGCCAATAAACGCGCAAAACGACAAAATCCATAAAGTGTCCAAGAGGCGATCGATGAGACCGTGAGAGCGAGAGAGAGAGAGAGAGAGAGAGAGAGAGAGAGAGAGAGAGAGAGAGAGAGAGAAACCGAGAGAGATAAAGAACGAGAGAGAAAGATATTTATGTGGAGATAAAGGGGGAAGCGACGACAGCAATGAGTGGCGGTGGTGCGGCGGCGACGGTACGGCGGCGGCAGCGGCAGTTGCAACGACGGAGGATTAAGGTTGGAATTTTCGGATACAATTAAAGGAGGTGGAGAAGATGAAAGTAATAGATGTGGACAAATAATTATATTTGTCTTCTAACACTAGTAGAGAGGGGTCTCACTAATCTATATATAATATAAAAAGAGGATCTATGCCCTCAATGATTGACATGTGGCAAATGATGATGTCATTTATCAAAATTGCTTAGTTGGAGTTCAATTGCTTAGGTGGATTCTTCAATTGGTGAGTTGTCAATTTCATTTTGGTATGTATTTAAGTTATTTCCTATTTAATATTTATACACTCATTTAAACAATTACCACATGTATATATATTATTTCCAAAGTTAATATTTTATAAATTCAAAAAAACAATCTTATTTATATTTTCAGTATTTCAAAATTCATGATATTCAATTTTTTTACGAATATTCAAATAATTTTCAGAAAAAAAACAGTTTTTTGATATTCAAATATTAAAATAAAGGAATACAGTTGTGTTTTTTTTTTGGTTGAATTTTCAATATTTTGGAATATTCGAATATCCATTATTCCATTCCATTAAAAATAATTATAAAAAAAATATTTTATTTTTTTAATTGTACTATTTAATCTATAATTAAACATTACCACATATACATATATTCTTTAATGTATTTAATCTATATATAAATTCAAAAAATATTTATTCTTTAATGCATAATATTCATTTTTTTATATTATGTATATATTTTAAAAAAAATTTAAATAACGTATATATTTTATAATTTTAAAAGATTTTGAATATTTTTGAATTCTACGCAAAAAAAATTCGATATTTTTATTATAATAATATTCAGAATCTTTTAAAATAAATTTAATGCATTAATATATTTTATAAATTTAGACTCATGTATTTATTATATTTTATTAATCATTTATATTTGTTATCTTTTAGAGTTAAATATCATTTATTTTAATTATGTTCATATATAGTAAACATATCAATTTATATTGAAAGAAGGTTTATCATATCAATCTATACATATCATTATATATCATCCGGATATATATATTCTACATACTTTTTTTTTAATTACATATAACAACCATCTATCTATTTATTTATCTATTTATTTATATAATTTATAAAGACAAGATTGATATTGCTTTTAATATTATTGATATTATTACCATATTCAATTGAGATTCTCTATTTTCATCATGCAAACAGAAGTATATAAACCGCTACAACTTCAATCCATTCCACCACTGCATTTCATTCAAATTAAACATATGACATTGTGCATTTTTTTTGTTTTTCATCGTCTATTTGCTGTATTTTCCGATTTTTTTATTGTCGTCTTTATTTCTTTTCGTTTTTCGTTGGTATCAACATATATCAAATATATATTTATAATCTATTAATATATATATGTTTTTCTTTTCCAGATGAATATGATGTCAACCTATGAATCGGAGATTTCGGTAAGAGACCATTCATTGATTATTGGTTTCAATATGATCCAATCATATCGTTTGCGGAAAGATGTATGCGCCAAAAGTTATAGATGAATGTCAGATGTGGTATTGAATGGAGAAATTAATAGTTATGATTTGCAAAAATTAATCGTATTGACTTCTTCTTTTTTGGTGAATCGCCGACTAAAGTATCGATGTTACAAAACATAAGACGACTTATTTTAAATAGTGTGTTCGCTTAGGAAATTTCATTAGAGCTTCAACAAGTTTATCATAGTTTATTTATTTATTTGTTTTAGTTGTGTATCCCTTTTCTTCGTTACTCATGTTGAAGTCGTTGTTCCTTTGACAGAGTTTGTGTACAATGATTAAACAAGTTCTTTAATTGTATTTGTGACCTCTGAAAATAAAATATTTATAATTTGTACATTAATTTATTTATTAATTATTTACCACATCGTCCACAAAATTCGTCTTTTTTTCCATAGCTTGATTGGTTATTTTGTACTGCATTAGAAGATTTCCATTTACTATCCACAAAATCCAACTTTTTAATTATTATTTTCATTCATATCATTGCGTAATAGATAAATCTTGAAAATATTGACAATTTACACATTAATCTGCAATCAATCAATCCGCTCATTGGTCCACATTAATTACATATTTATATTAATATCAATAATAATATAATCTTCTAATTTATTTAAATCTAAAAGATATTGTTACATTAACCACATCATAAATCCTATAAATACTCCCTCCATTGTTATCACTCACTTATTCGTTTGCTTTTTCATTATGACGTCCTTATATTTTTTTCAATGTTTTGTGGTTTGTAAATATTATGATATTTCATTTCCATTATTGTAATACACTGTTATTTGTTCTTATTTTTTATTTTCATGTTATTCTTGATATTCTTTTTTCCATGGTTTTTTGTTATTTTTTTTTAAAGTTGTTCTTGATGTTCATTGTCCATTGTTGATAACTATGTATATCTTTTCCATTTTTTCTGTTTTTTTGCGTACCATACTACACTTAATATGTTGACTTTACTGTAATCTTGCCTTAATATAGTTAAATTGTGCATAATTATGAAATCAATTGATAATATCCTCTAATCATGCACAGTTAATACATATTATATGTAAATTTATATTCATGGTTATGGAATAATTAAGGAAAATTATATGAAAATGTGTATACGTAAGCTCTATAAGAAAAAAAGTGCAATTATGTTATATATGTGATTATACTATAATTATTCGATTCTAAAATTTCATAAACGAGATTTTATAATGGTAAACTGATAATTTATATTTTTTAAATGATTGTTTATTTAATTATTTGTATTATTTTGACAAACCCAAACCCACTTATAAGGATAAATTATTTATACAATATCCGTTTTGTTACTAAATTAGACAAAAATATAATGGATAATTTTTTTTATACCAGTAAAATAATTTTTTTTCATTTTTTAAGTTATATTTTGGTGAATTATGTGTGCCGAAATACTTAAATTGTTTCGAAAAACATAAAAAATATTTAAATATGGATAAATAATTTTTAAAATATGTGTTACCACCACGGGATACAAGATTTTAAAAATTGGGTGAACGGCATTTGATAATGGTAAAATTAATAATTTTCATTTTTTTCAAAGTTATGTTTTGGTGACTTATGTGCTTTGAACTATTTTAATATTTTACACGACGAACTTAAGCTCATTTAAATTACGACAAATAATTTTTAAAATCTATATTTCGTTAACACTACTAGATACAATATTTAGTAATGAAAAAATAATAACTTTCATCCTTTTAGTTATTGTTTGGTGAATTGTGTGGTTTGATATATAATTGATAAGATACCCATTTTGTTACCACCACTAAATAAAATATTTAATAATTGGTAAATAAAATTTTATAATGGTAAATTATTTTTTTGTGTAAGTTATTAATTGACAAGACTAGATATAATATTTAAAAATGGGTAGAAGAATATTAATAATGGTAAAAGATAACTTATTTGTTTCAAGTTATAATTTTTCAATTGAATTCCTCAACGTCGTGTCGTGCTCCGAACTCCCTTCGCATAGGTTGAAATTCAAGTTTGTTCATACGAATATCGGTCATCCAACAAGAATGTGCAATGAAACTAGGCTTCAAGTTAATCGAACGGACAATCACATACTTCAAGTTAATGTTGATCCCGTTGAACTTCACCTTGCTACAAAGTTCCAGAGACGATAATTGTTTTTTGTTAATCGTTTGCAATGACCATCAACAAAAGTTGAATCAAACGCATGTAAGTTTATA